ATGATGATCTCCAGTAGAAAAGAAAGGACTTTGATTAAAGACTTGCAGACGAAAGAAGTTAGATCTTCTCATCTCATAAAAAACCATTAGTGCACACTGGACTGGAGGGCTAGATCACTGAAGGAGACAATAAGACTAGACTTTTCTTTGCTTGGGTCAAGAAAAGAAATCTCCAGAATTATATTTGCAATGTAAAAGCCCCGGGTCAATTTGCACTGTAAAAGCCCCGGGTTAGATGAGAAACCATTATACTCTGTATCTTTTTTTAAATAAAAATTACAGTTTAAAATATTGATATACATGCACTAGAAATTGTATAAGTATTTTGTTTAAAAGTACTAGTAAAAGACAAAGGATAAATTATTTATAAAGAATCATATAAATTTATTTTTCAAAACATCGATAAAGTTCAAAAAGTATTTTTTAGATATAATTTAAGTAAAAAAAATATATTTTAAATTGGTGGAATGTATATTGGTATGTTAATTTAAATATAAAAAGTGTATACAAAATTAATGGTCATTAAATGAAGTATTAATGAAAATAGTTGTAATTAATAAAGTATTATAATAAAAACTGAAATAACTAAATTATGAGACATCATTAGAGGATGTATATGTAGCATAATGTCACTTCTATATGTACATTATCCATTGTCTATAATAGAAGATAGGCTTTAATAAAGCTGTTAGGTTGGAGGTCAAAAACAATTTTTTTTGTTTTTAAATGACACGGAGATGCCCTTATTTGGTAGTCGAAAGGGTAAAAAAAGTAAGCAAGATGAAAAAATGAAAAAATCTCAAATCGGAGGGTTATATAAGGCCTTTGGGATCATTTTTTCATCTTGGCCCAGGCCATTACAATCTCAGAACCGTCCATGGCGCCATCGTCTCGTGCGTCATCCCTAGTACGTGCCTCGTCGCCGTCGTCGTCGCCTCGGCTTCAAACTCCTTGTTGGCCATGAGTGCAGCAATTGTCCCGTGGCGGAGGCTATGTGGGCCAAGTCACAATCAAATGTCGTGGGCGCTTGTGTGTTGAATGCACTATAAGGCTAAGGCCCTGTTCCGTTCAACTTATTTTTTCTTATTCTTATTAAAATCAGATCAGATTAGACCAGATCAGATCGAATCAGATCAGATCAAATCAGATCAGATCGAATCAGATCAGATCAGATCACCTCAATCAGATCAGATCAGATCCAATCAGATAAGATCAAATCAGATCCCATCAAGTTGTTGAAAATTAAAAAGAATAAACGTTAGAAACAAGTTAAATAGAAAATCGAGAAAGTAATCCTTAATTATTAGACGTCGGAAAAATTATTTTTAAAAAACATTGATAATGTCAAACTAATTTTTATTTTTAAAATACATTTTTATTTCTACCTCTAATTTGAGTTTCTAAAGTTTTGATATTTTGTAAGGATGAGATATTTTAATAAAAATACTATCTCTTATATATATATATATATATATATATATATATATATATATATATATATATATATATATATATATATATATATATATATATATATATATATATATATATATATTGATTATCTAAATTTAATTACTTTTTAATGTATATATAAATTAAATATTTATTCTAATGTATATATGAAGTAATTATTGAAATATTAAATTAATATTCTAATTTCACAAAAAATGATCATAAAATAAAAATATTATTACATTATAATATTAATCATTATTCTCAATATATGAATTAACTAATTTTATTTTATTAAAAAATATTCATAAAATAAAAAATATTGATTATATAAAAATATGAATTATCACTACAATTTTCAAATATTATTATAAAGTCAAATCAAATTATTGATTTGAAATTTAAATCAAATCATAATTAATAAGATCAGATCTAATCAGATCAGATCAAATCAAATCAGATTCAATCAGATCAGACCAGATCAGATTCAATCAGATCAGATCAGATTCAATTAGATCAGATCAGATCGTAACTTATTGAAATCAGATCAGAAAAAATAAGTTGAACGGAACGGAGCCTAAATCCCAAAATATGTAAATTCTTATGTGGAATTTATGTGCATATTTATTTTATGATCCTTAGTGTAAGGGTAACTAAAAAATTTGGGCCTTTTTTGAAAAAAATTACTTTTCAATCTATGATGCATATAAAAAAATTCGTATCTCACGTATGTACTTTAAAGGTACAAAAGTACAACTACTCGAAAAAATTCTTATCAAATTCATATGCTAATTGATGGTATCTTGGCACCTACCCAAATGTAAAATCGAGTTAAACCCAATGTACATAGTTCATTCTATTATTATTCATTAGGCCCATGATATTGGGCCCATTCTACCAAATAAGGTAGGACCTATGAGTTAGATTTAACTGACTCAAAAGTGAGGTCTAACTAGACTGACAATTGGATCGGTTTTGGTTGGGATTTTTTCGGTTTGAATATCTTTCGGTTATATGTTATAATCGGTTCAGTTTAATTTCAATTCGGGTTTATTTTAATTTCATATATTTTTCGATTTTGATTTGGTTCTGAATCTGCTCTGATACGCTTCAGATATATTTTGGTTTCGGATAGAATTTGGTTCAGATATATTTTAGAGGATATATCTTATCTTTAAATTGAATTTTAATTATCTATGTTCGTTTTTTCTAATTATACAACCTCCGCTGTAAATAATCTTCTATTTTTCTTTTTAGTCATATTTTACAAAGTTAAACTAAAATTAAAGAAAAAATATGTTTAGTAATGGAATTGAATGTAATTGGTATAAAACAATTGAAATTAGGTAAAATTAGTTGAAGTTCACTCAATTTGGTTTAAATATGTTGAAATTGGGTGAAAATGAATGCAATTAGATAAATTTTGGATAAAATTAAATACAAGTCAGTGAACTTGAGTAAATTGTTTAAAACCAATCGTATTTACTCCCGAATAAAATAAAATTAAATGTAATCGAATGGAATTAAGGTAAAGTCGAGTACTTTCATGCAATTTAGTACTCCGTATATTGTTTGAATGAATTCCATAAATGGTCCTTTGTAATGATAGTTTAATTTGAAACAGAGCGAGTAAATAATTTAACTATCTAAAATGGTAAAATCAAAGTAAAAATTTGAAGGCACATGAATGTTATTATGCACTAATGTACACAAATACGATATGATCATTATTGGATAGAATCTGTTTCGGATATAATCGATTTTGGGTATTATCGGTGTCGAATTTTATTGGTTTCGAGTCTTATTAGTTTCAGGTATTATCGGTTTCAAACATTATCAGTTCCAGGTTTAATTGGTCGGATCTGATTGGTTTATAGTTAAATAGGGTATGGATACATTTAGTTCAGTTTAGATTGTTTCGATTTTTCAGTTATTGATTAGATCTTCATTGTTTGGATCATTTCAGTTTTGGTTTGTAATGATTCATTTTGGGTAATCGGTTGTGATTCTGTTTTGCCATGTCTAAGTCTAACCTGCGGGAGTAACTAACAATCAAACATGGTAGCCATTAAGGTTACGTCAATAGGAAGAGGGGCTCCCAATCAAGGTCTATTTTCTTACCTTTTGCATTCTAAAATGTTTGCCACATTTTGAACAACATATACAATATCATCTTTTTAAAAATTACTCCCTCCGTCCCGCAAAAAAGTTCCCCTTTCGTTTTTTTTCGTCACAAAAAAAACTTCCCATTTGTCATTAAAAGTCCATTATACCCCTCCATCCCAAACCCTAACCAAATCTAACCTAACCCACCCCCCACCGTTTTAATCTTCTTCTCTCCTCTTCGCCTCTTCCAATTCCCAGACTTCCTCTCATCTTCTCCCCTCCTCTTCCCTTTTCTAATCTAATCCCTCCTCCCTTTTCCGATCTCTTCGGCGGATCCAACTTGGAGAAGACCAAATCCCTCCTCCCTTTTGGTAGATCTGACTCCTCTGAGTTGGATCCAACTAGGAGAAGACCAAATCCCTCATCCCTTTTCCGATCTCTTCGGCGGTGGCGGCAGTGTTGATGACTCATCTGAGACGGATCGTTGAAGACCATCCGCACTCTTCTTTGCCTCCTTCGATGCCTTGACTAGGACGACCCCGGGGCGGAGGGCGCCGGGGCCCTTGGGGACGGCGACTGAGCCTCCGAAATATGCGGGTGTGATTGTCATGGAAGCCATGGATAGATCGGAGTGCTTTTTTCGTGGGGAGTGTTTGGGAGTGGAGAGATTTGGGGGGTATTTTGGGCAAGTCAAAGCCAAAATATCCCCTTTTATTTTGGAGAACTATTCCAAAAGGGAAATTTTATATGGGACGGAGGGAGTATTTTATTTATAAATTGGTAGAAAAATAAAAAAAATATAAATTTCATCTTTCAAAAGTTCATCAAAAGTTCTACAAAACAAGATGCAATAAGAATACTTTATTTTATCAAATGATCACCAAAAGTGAGTAAATAAACAAAAGTTGTCGAGATAATGAAATAATAATTGTGATAATATTTTTGGAAGGGAGTGTAATAGTCCTTGTACCATAGATATACCTGAGATCAACGTCTAAAGAGAGACTTTGATACATAATCAATTTTCATATACTGAATTACTCATATCTTATTGTCAATTAAAATTATATGGACAAATATAATCTCTACGTCCCCATTTAAGTTCTCTATTGTTATTTACGATGTTTGACGAAAAGTATTTTCGATTCAATTTCTTTGAAAATGTGTGTGGAATTTAAATCTTCTTCAATTCTTTACTACGGAGTATTTACACAATCAAATTATTTTTCTTTTACACATCTTTTCTTTAATTATCTTATAAAATAAAATAATAATGTCATATTTTATTTTAAGCATTTGATACATTTCTTTTACGGAGTATTTGTTTTATGTAAAACGAAAATATATAGAATTATAGATTGGTTATGCTAGGACAAAAAAAAAGGAAGACAAAACAGACAAGAAAAAGGACAGTTTGTCACTGATGCCAAAAGGCAAAAATGAATCTATTATACTATTCATTAATGTACATGGCAAGTTGGCAACCACCCTTAAATATGCCAAAAATAAAAACCCCTTCACTAAACTAATTAAGCCGTTCATAGTGATTAGTGATATTAATCCCTCTCTCTCAACAAGTTCAATTCATGGTTGAATAATACTCCTATATATTCTTTTTTAACTCAGACTTTTTTGATACATTGAAAAAAGTGAATGAACGTAGACATATTTCATTTCTACATTCATCCATTTCAGTTTCAATGTACGTACGATAATGTCATTTAAAAAAGAACGGAGGGAGTATATAAACATATATAATGTAACATCTCATAAACTAGAGATGATATCGACGAAAGTATCCTCGTGACAAGGTATTGTGAGCCCGCCGGTCGTCGGGTGATCGAACCCGAACTCCTCCTCGGCTTGGGTCAACAAGTATTGGAACGACGGGTCCTTTAGGTACGAAATCGGGACCACGAACCGCTTCTTCTCCCCTTCGCCCCCGACGTAAACCGCAAAGTGACCCTTCGGGACTTCGCCCTCTCGTCCCGTTCTCGAGGACGACCTCATAATGAGTTGCTTGGCACATAGAATGTGTGTGATGCTAATTGCCATTTATTATAATGACACAATACTAATGCTAAATTGTATGTTAATTATTATATGATTAAGTAATAATCACTCTTTTTTTTTGGAAATGGTGAAAAAATGAAGAAGGAGAAGAAGAAGAAAAAAGATGAAATTAAAGTGAATATGGAAATGGATATGTTAGTGTTAGTGTTAGTGCTTATATAGATTCTTTGGGTGGGAGATTGAGTGGCTAAAGATGTGTTTGGGTAAGGCTAAATAAAAAAAGATTTAATTTTGGGACAGTTGCATGTGGTTTTGCCAGCAAACAAAACTTGAAAGAATTGGCAAAAGATGTTAGATGGTGAGGGCATTTGTGTACAAACACCGTTCCCCACATGGTGCGATCTTATTCAGCAGACGCGGAAACCTTAACTACTACTCCGTATGTGCACTTGAAAGGGGTAATTTGGTCATTTCCCCTTTATAAATTAAAGGTAAGTCTGAATATTTATCTAATGTTAACTCATTGATGAGAAATTCTAAACTAAAACCACTCTTATAAATGTTGTGTTGTTCATAAAATTAATGATTCTACCTCATAATATTCCACCTGCCCCTGGCTCACCGGTTGGAAATATGTATTGCCAATCAGTGACCTTGTAGTTTGCCAATTGGCAGTACTTTTAATACTCCCCCGTCTCAGAAAGAGAGGAACATTTGACTAAAGTATAAAATAATGTAAGAATATTTTGTTTTGATTTTCCAAAGGTATCCTTGATGTGCTATATAAAAGTAGTATGTGATGTGTAGATTACTAGAATAAATGTATGATGTGATATGTAAGGTATAAAAAACTAAGGGATAAAAATGATTTTTTAATAGAAATGAAAAGAAGATCGTGGGATATCATTTTTTGAAACATGAAGGACTTTTTGAAACGGAAGGAATATATACTGCCAATCAGCATTTCCCGGAGGGGGGGGGGAGGAAAGGGGGATGAGCGGGAGGATTTGGGGTGTAAAGATTAGAAAGTAAAAACTATCAATTTTATAATAAGATATTGTAGATGACTCGATTAAACAGTTAGTAAAATGCTCTCTGGCTTATTATGGAGGTTAGAATTTGGACATTGGAGTCTCTCAATTTTTTTAAAATTTGTGACGGGGGAAAATAAACATATTATAAACCGTTTTCCTTTTGGTAAAAAATAAAATGACCCAAACATATCCCAAGAGGTACCCAAATGGGTACTTAATTTGTCCTTAAATGTTCATGAAAAAGGAAAGAGGTAAAACAAAAATAAAAAAAGGCGTCGGAAAACTGGAAAAGTAGATTTAGATAAGATTTGAAGACTTTGGACATACTCCCTCCGTCCCAAATTATTTGTCACATTTCTATTACCGAGACAAAATATCAAGTTTTTTCAATTCATTTTATTTACATATTGGTAAAGAAATAAAAAATAAAAATTACATATCAAAAAACTACATGAAAAGTTCTTCGAAATAAGAGGTGTCAAGAATATTTTATTTTATCAAATAACTAATGAAAACGTAGAAATAAACAAAAGTTCCCGTGACTGTTGAAAAAACAAATGTGGCAAATAATTTGGGACGGAGGGAGTAAATTTTTTGGCTTGCACATTCAATTATCCGGACTAAAGTTTTTTTTTGAGACTCAACACTTTAAATTATAATTTCCAAATTTTAGGCTTCAATAATCATTTTCCTCTAAACATAATTGTAGTTACAAAAGTAATTACCTTGATTTAATTCTCATAGAATATTTGTGAAAACCACATTGGCCTAGAATTTTTTTATTTATTTCTAAGTATCAAGTATTGGAATTTTTTTTACACAAGGGTCACACATTAGCTGTAGTTCCAAGGTGCAATTAATCTATTACAAAAATATCTTTAATAAATAAAAATAACCTTAGGTATAATCATTTGTCATTTTAGGTCCAAGACTTCTAGAATTTTAAGATATGTAAATTATGCGTAGTGTTTTTCAACTCAATTATCAATATTAAAATGTATAAAATTAAAAATAACTGCAGCCAAACGTGATAAATCACAAAATAATTTTCTTTTTGGGATGTAAAGTGTTACTACATCTATCCTAAAATGTTCTTCCCGTTTCTGTCTACGCAGTGTGACCGACTTTATTTTCAATTCAATTTATTTGATTGTAAGTGTAAAATTAAATAATAAAATCTATATATTTAAAAACTATATCAAAAGTTCTACAAGGTAAGAGGTGACAAGATTATATTATTTTATCAAATAAATAATGAAAATAGGTAAAAAAAAAACTATATAGTAACTGAGAAAAATATTTTAGGAAGAGAGGGGAAAATGCACCACCACCCCCTATGGTTTCAAAAAGGAGCTCCAACACCTCTCGTGGTTTTAAAAGTAATTTATAAAATACCTCTGGTTTGTAAAGGGTGCACATGCACCCCATCTGATGAGAATTGGCTGTTATTCGATACGCACCCCATCAGTGTAATGTCACCATGGATCATTTGATTCCTAATATTTTTTCAATCCAATCCTACATCAACGCTTACCCGGACATCATAATGCCGCTTCCCGATGAGGCCGAATGGCCTACTCCAGGATAAGAGATAGTGAGACCAACTGCACGAGCAAGGACACAAACCGATCGACCTACAAGAACTCGTTATCCGAATAACATGGACTACCGACCACGGCGACGCCGCAATGAACAATAGCTATATCATGGGTTTCAATTATGTCTAAGTTTATGTTTTATGAATTTCACAAAATAAATTAGTTATAGCATGTGTTTTGTAACCTTATTTTTATGAATGAATAAATTATATGTACTCTATCAATAAATTTGTTGTGATTTACTTCTTATTTTAATTTTGTGTATGGTGCATTTTTTAAAGTCAATAAGTAATTATTTTATTTATGAATTTTACAATTAGTAGATTGCTTGTTTCATTATATGTAATTAATTTGCTAGTTTTTATAATATTTTTTTTGTAATTCAATTATGAGAAATAAAGAAAAAAATAGATTTAAAAAAATATTAGAGGAACGAAGTTGAGAAATTAAGAAAAAAATTGATTTTAAAAAAATAATAGTGGGACGGAGTTCGCTACTCCGTTTCCTTAATTAATTATTCGAAACATAAACTAGGATTTATTATTTAATGAAACGAAGTAGGCCATTTGGCCTCATCGGGAAGCGACATTATGATGTCCGAATAAACGTTGATGTAGGATTGAATTGAAAAAACATTAGGAATCAAATGTTACACGGTGACACTACACTGATGGGGTGCGTATCGAATAACAACCAATTCTCATCAGATGGGGTGCATGTGCACCCTTTACAAACCAGAGGGATATTACAAATTACTTTTAAAACCACGAGGGGTGTTGGAGCTCCTTTTTGAAACCATAGGGGGCTATGGTCCATTTTCCCCTAAAGAGAGATTACAAAACTATTCCAATTTTTGGGTGTTTAAGCACACGCGCAAAAACACAGCTGGCAATTATTATAAGTGTTTGCCAAATTAAAAACATAAAGTACGTATTACAGCTTGCCTTAAATTGGCTATATTTTGATACAAAGAAAAATAAGAATCTAAGTACATTCTCAAATGTAATAAAATGTTTTTTGTTGTTAAGAAAAAATTCCACACACAAAAAAAAGTAAATGCCTCTTTCCTAATTTTTTTTCAATACAATTAAATTTAGGTAAATAAGTTGCCATTAATTTTCAATATTAATTCTATTAAATTCAATTTATTTGAATAAATTACTATCGGAAAAGACAATGAATCATATCGATTTGTTTCTTCTAGTATCGCCAAACACTTACTTAAAACGAATAACTACTTCTGTCATGAATTAGTGAGTTTCACTTTTTCAAGTCAAAGAGACAAACTTCCATCATCACATAGATCCAAATGAGTAGTATATTGGTTATTGGTACAAAGATAATTTCATTGGATTTATCTAGTAAAAAATGTTAAGAATCCAATTTATTGTATTAATATACAATCCAGTGTAATTAATAACTAAAATTTATTCTGCTTGGTTTTAAAAATTGTAAATGGACAAATATTATTAGAGAAAGAGAATATATTGTAATTGTGATAAATTAAAAATGAAATTTGTCTCTTTAGTACGTAGTACTACTTACAAGATTTGATAGTATTCCTCAATTTGATGCTTGTTAAAAGTCTAAAAGGGTTCCTTCAAAAAAAGGAAAAGAAAAGAAAAGCTAAAAGGGCCAATACAACTGGATAAAACGTGGCTTTGCCTTTCTCCATCACATGTACTCATATCCACACTTGTAATTTTAAGTTCTAACTTGTTGGAATATTTTTGTTGAATTTTTGATATTATTCTCAAATTAGTTTCAAATTTGATAGGAGAGAAAGACCAGAGTAAGACTAAAACATTGAAAATATACCAAAATTGAACTTCCATGTTTTTATTCTCGAAATAGAACTTAAAATGCATTTACATTACCAAACATTGTCATGTACATTACCAAAAAATATAGTAATGTGCACATATACAGTGTCACATTACCACAGTGCAAAGTCTCATTTCGAGAAAAAACATGAAAGACCTATTTTGGTACCTTTCTCTATGTTTTAGTCCTATTTAAGGTAATTTCTATTTTGATAGGGAGAAATGTCAAGGAACCAACTCAACCAAAAGCTCAAGCTTTTGGTTGTGTCCGATGAACAGTTATTTATATTCTAACAAGAAAGACTAGAATAGGACTAAAACATTAAAAATCTACCAGAGTAGGAATTTATTAAAAAAATTCCAACGTTTGCTTCCCTATTTAAAGAATGACATTCGCTATAATTAGGGATGAACATGGTCCGGCTCCAATTTTGAAATAAGCGGTTCGCAGTTCCTAAAAAATAAAAACAAAAGACGGAGCCTCTTAGGACCGGCCTGGTTTCACTGGGGGTTCTTCTCTCGTATTATTGTTTTAAATATACTCTATACTAGATATTGGATTAAGTAAAAAAAATACAATTCTTCTCGGGAGATTTGTTTTCTACCCCAAATTATTAAATTATAAATAGTTTTCAAAGAAAAAACATCCTGTAAAAGCATTTATAATTTAACACGTCTCATCACGTGCAAGTGTGGCCGCTTTGAACATTACACATGAAATCCTATTTTTTTAAATTGGACGACGCTCGTGTTCAAACTTGTAGCCTATTGGTCAACAATGTTTTGATACCTTGAAAAGAAACCAACTCATTCCAAAGTGTAAGCTTGTTGTTGTATGTTCATAAATAACTTTATATTATAACACAATTTTAACCAAAATTAAAATGATGCCGCAAATCAGAATCGCTGGTTACGGTTCTCAAAATCGTTTGTTGCCGTCTCTCTATCAACTGCCACGCGCCGCTACCCTCCGTTGTGAGGTCACCACTCACCAGAGCACCATCTTCAGTCAGTGTTGACCACCACCGATAGTCTACTTGCGGTTGATCGGTGATCCATTGATGACGTTGACCAATAAACTTTAATTTTTTATTTGTTTATTTTTTTCTATTCGTACAAGCATCACATTCCTTCACCACATTGCCATCACACTCTTATTTAGGAAACTAAAACATGTCCACTCTTATTTTACTCCATAGAATTTTTGATCTCGATTACTCATATCTAAAAAGATCTCTTTCAAATATTTAACCATTTTGGACCAGAACTGAATAAAAACATTCATTACCGTCGTGACTGATATCTGTCTATATTTGTGAAATACTTGGCATCCATCATCAAAATTCTTATTGAAGAAGACCCTAGCACTAATAAGGCCTTGTTTGTAATGGAGAAAGTGATCTAATTTTGAAATGAGTAGGGGTTTTTTTTCTGGCTGAGAGTGGAGGGAGTGTGGTGAAATGGGAACTACAAATATGGAATAAGTGGGAGGGACACAAATGCACATGGCATTGTATATGAGGTGAAGATCATCCACTCAACACCATTTCCGTACATGCTTCCAACCTCCATTAACCTATATACTGCTGCTTGCCAACTGTGACTCATGCACCCTGCTTTATTTGTGCTATCTAGTGTCCCACTCCCACACCCAAATTTAATAAAGAAGTTTATAATTCGGTTGGCGTTGCGCAGTTGGCAAGGCAAGGGGTGCCAATGGAGTAAGACTCGATCCGAGTTCGATTTCGTAACTGTGCTAAGCATAGGGCCTCTGCAAGAGGTACAGACTCCACTCTTTGCCACAAATCCCTGCGATTGAAGTCCAATTTACATCTTCTCTGTGACTGTCCGGCCGGGTCTGAGGGGGCCTTCGGGGATCAGGCTCATCCTTTTTTAATAAAGAAGTTTATAAGGTCATGTGTTGAGTTAAATAATCAACCTAACCATGCTATCCTAGTGGTACACCAAAAAGTGTACGCAAGTTGTACACCAAAGAAATGCATCAACATTTTAACGATTCATAATGACACAAAAATGTTAGTTCAATTTAAAAAATTGCACTGACATTTTTGTTAATGTAAATCATTACACCAACACAAAATGTCAATGCATGCCTTTGGAGTACAAAATGGATTACAAGTTTTGGTTTACAAATAGCGTAATCTTTAAATAATCGATGAGATTCGATATTTTAATATGAGCAGTTTAGTCTCAGTGTCTTAAAGTCTAGACTAGTAACCTAGATTTGTATGATAGTATTAAATAGGTTTTGGCTTACTTTATTTGTCAGGTGCCCGTCGTCTAGAATTTCATTCCTAACTAGTGGCCCATGAGTCTTTTTCTTTTTCGAGGTGTACCAAATTTTTCTTGGCATTTCTCAGTGATCGTCTGGACGGATCTGAGGAAGCCCTCGGGAATGAGGCTCATCCTTTTTTTAAACAACTGGGGTGGGAACATGGATATGCTTCTTAAGGTTGCCCTACTCCTACATATCCTATTGAACACTTTACACAGATTATGACTTTCATATGCATTTTTGTTCATCCAAGACCACAAAACAGCCCACACCACGTCCAGATTTGTTTATATGTGCACTTATAGCAAATTTATAATTTTTCTTTTTCGACGACAAACTTATTATTGACATGAGTTATGCTCATTTTATTAATTACTCTAAAAAGGTCTAATATTTTATATTTTTGCTCATTTTTCATGGGTTCAAACCCCACCACTTCTTGGAGACTTTTGATCTTAATCTGCAAATCCGATTGATCAAGATTAGTCGGATTTCACCAAAAGCCATCGGGAACACTGTGGTCTAACAAAAAAGTATATCCAAATGTGGTTTTATTAGGAATATTAGATAATAGGAAATAAATATTATTTTTAATTACATTCCTTATTATATTATTTTTCTTATTGTATTGTTATTATAGTTGTTCTCTTACTATGATTAGAATTTTCTCATGTAATTCCTATAAAAAGTGATTCGATGTATCCTTCAATATTCAATAAGACCAGTTATTATCAAGTTGTACCATAGTTATTCTCTTACTTTAAATAGTTGTATTCGTTAATAATATCAGCCGTATATCAAAAAACGGCCAAAGATCGGCGGCTCTCAAAGATTTGGGTTGGGCGGGAAATTATTTTGGAACTATTTCCCCTCTTTTTAGAATAGGATTGATTTTACTTTTGTATTAATATTATTTGAGTTAAGCATGTTTATTGGCACGTTTTGAGTATGTCCTAATAGATATTGTATCATTTCATTTTAAAATAGAATGATACTGAATGATTTGGATTCATCCCGTATAGATACAAATCATTTAAATAAGAAAAGTGTGTGGTACGTGTTGGTAGTATCACGGACCGTTATGGACCGCGATCACCTCCAATATGCACAATAAAATAGATAACCGGCGTAACTTTGGGAGTTGGGGCCTTAATCCCTTATTTAAATGTTTACGATGAAATTGAATTTTTGTAGGGAGTGGGGAGGGAAATACTATTTGGATAGTCATTGAAATAATCAGTCATTCGTATAGTCAAAACTTTGCGAAGGGTAAATTAGGAGTGACGTGCAAAACTTAGTCCTATTTTAAGGAGCTTAAGTTTAGACTCGGTCTAATTTTTTCACCATATTTTACTCTTATTTAGGCCATTTTCTCAATTATAATTTCATATACTTCTCCGTCAGAAAATGTTCTTTTCATTTGACTTTTCTTGATCAACGTTTGTAAACTTTGACTCTGATATATACTTCTACCTTTTTCTGAGACAAAGGTAGTAAATATTTTTAGTACAATTTATGGTTATTACAAATAGAAAAGTTATCCAAAAATTTCCTAACTTACCCAATCTTTCAAAATAATCTACTCTTTCACTGTTATGCATACTAATTATTTTACTCGATCTTTAGTGAAATTTGTGAATTTTGGGCCGCCGTTAAGTTACTAACAACGAGTTAACGAAACTGCCAGTTTTGCACAACAAATTGAGATTATTTTCAATAACGTTTCATTTTTTAATTTTTTTGAAATTATAATTTAAGTTCTTAAAATTACTTTCTACCTCCATCATTTCTATTTTTTTAAATATTAGTGTAATTTTGGATAAAAATAAAAAACAGATATAAAAATAAAGAAAATGAGAAACATAACCAAAATTATTGAAAAAATCATCCATAGAAATTAACCTGAAACTAGTAAGAAATAAAATAGAAATATATGGAGTGCTAAATTTAACATTTTACGCACCATACAAAGGACCAATGTATCACTTCTTATTTTTTTATAGGAAAAGTTATCTATAATAACCCTAAGGTTACCCATTTTTTCAAAAAATTAGTACATTAATACTCTCTATAGTGTGTAAATGTTGGAACACTTCACTTGTTATATTTTTTTCAATTTCAGTTTAATTTTTATTTATTACCTTATTTAATTCATTAACTTTGTATGTTTTTAGTTGTTTTTCTCATTTTTAATATTATTATTTTTTATACGATAAGACTAATCTTTAAAAAAAGGGGGAAAATGAAGGAGAAAGTCATTTTAAAACTTTAAATAAAAATTTCAAAAAAAAAAAAAATCGTCAAAAATAATTCATCCTTTCACTTGATTGTGCAAAATAGGTCATTCAATTAATCGGCGTTAACAACTTAAAGACGGTCCAAAATTAACAAATTTCAGTGAAACGTGAAATTATTTATGAGAAACGGGATAAAACTGAAATTGTTTTGAATTATTTTTCTTACAAATATGAAATATTGATAAGGCTGGGTAAAAAAAATTGGGTAAAGATCCACCGAAGTGGGAAGCCTTATCCGGATGTGTGGTCACGAGAAAAGCCCGAAGGCCAATCCCGTCCCTGTCAGGGGAGATGCCAACCATCTCTCCTTTCTACGAACACGGAATATCTTGCGCTAAGTTTACTATTTAAAGTGTTCAAATGTTGCTTTGTTTGCCGGTGTGGGACACTTTTCAAAGTTGGGCTTCCGCTCCAACCTGCCCGAGAGAGAACAGATTTCCACAGCTTTGTTGTGCTATGGGTGGAGCAGATTCTTCGTCTTCAGGGACCAGAATGCCACTTCAGTTGAAATGTATTCCACGGTGAGCTTTTCCTTCTCCTTTTTTTCTCGTACATTTAGATTCAATAACTGATTGCTGAGTCGAACTGTGTTGACTCAGTTTCTGGTTGGAATTTATAATTTCTATCTCAATTGAATTGCCAATGGCTGTGGATCAAACAAGAAGACGCCCAAATCGGACCTCCATAGCTCTCTTCATTGTCCAAAATATATAGCTAATTCCTTTCATGGAAATTTTGTATCCCCATGTGTAAACCACAGAGATGAATATCTTGGCCGTAAACATAAGATCAACCATCTTAACTAAAACTTGGACTGTAGATTCTCTTTGTTCAGGATATAATCCTAAGCGAAAAAAGACTAATATTCCTTAATAAGAATCTAAGTTACTTCTTACATTGTTAATTTGTTTTGGTTTGAAATCTCATAATTTTTCATGGTAGCCAAGACTTGAGCTCAAAAAAGAAATCCAGGTCTATTCCAGCAAGTAACAATTTGAGTAAAAAAAAACCCAAGTTGGTCTTATATTGAACACACAGGCATAAAAAAGACTAATATATTAGTATATAAGTTCTTACTCCGATCATTGGTAATTGGTTTCGATTGTCAATGTGATTCTACTTATATAAGAATGCTCAAGGAGAACTAATCTTTTGAAGACATCTCTCACATTCCTTAAAAACCCCTCAACTTAGAAGAATGAAGGCGATGAAAAAACCCCTGAGCATAAAATCCCTCAGCTTGAGAACACCTGAGCATTTTTCCAAGATTAAGAAGGCCCTCAACTTTGAAAATTGATATAGAGTAATTCAGATAAAGAAAGAGTGAAGAGCCAATGAAAAAGAGAACCAATGTGCTATTATTGAATTTGCTTAGACTACCGGATGTTAATGATTTCATTTTCTATTTGGCTTCTTATGAAAGTAAGTAGTCAACTCTTTTTACTTATTAATCCAACATTTATGATCTCTGCTGCTAGGTGAAAGCCCATGCAAATGTTATTTTTGTAGAATCAACATTGAGCTGCTTTAAGAAGTGGCTAATTTTTTCCGTTCATTTCTAGTAAAAGTATATGCTCTACAAAAAGAAGAGCAGAAAATTGAAGTTTGAACAATATATATTTCAGATATGTCTTCTGGTATTTAATTTGTCTACACTGGCACTGTTCACTTCAATTTAGAAATGCAAATAAGAGCAAAAAAAGGGGACTATTGCTAGCACAAGAAAAAGTATGAGCACAAGTGGCCAATGCTAAATCTTTCTGAAGTGATCATTGTCAACAACAACAACAACCCAGACCCTACTTTCTTAGGATTCTACTGGGTTGTTGTTGGGAGTGATCACTTCAGAAAGATGTAGCATTAGCTACTTGTGCTCGGAATTTTTCTTGTGATCGCAATAGCCGCTTTTTTCCGCTCCTGTTTACATTTCTAGCAATGAAATGGAAACATTTGTTATTTAAGTCAGATTTGTAGTTTTTACATCGTCTTAGTTTCTTTCTGCTCATAAATCATAATCTTGCTTTTCTGACTGTAGATCTTGAATATCCTCAGCCCACATTTCAGAAATTAATGAAAGAACAATGGATTGAACCTTTTTGTATTCCAGGTTTGCTATGGTTAATGACCATTTCTCCATTTTGCCTTATTGAACTATTGAAGTATTCATTTTTTATTTTATTTTATTTTATTTATTACGCTCTTTGGTAGTGCTCATCATCTTTTCATATGCAGCCAATGCAGGTCTTTTGTGTTGGTTTGTGGTATTTGCATGAATACTGGTACTATAGTTTGCTCACCTTATTTATGCTGTTTATGTTTGAATCAACAATGGCCAAGAGCCGTTTAAAGACACTCTCTGTGCTTAGACGTGTCACGTGTGAGAGTTGAAAGCGAGCCTTTGATGGCGCATCGTTGTGGCAAGTATGTTACTGGTTCTCTTTAGTTTGTTGCTGTAAAGTATTTATTATATAATGTTTATGAGATGTTGGAAATACAAACAGGTTTATCTTATACAACAAGGCACTATTATGTTACAAAAATTCCTCAACTTTCCATCATATTTCTGACTTCTCTCCCATTCTCTACATTACTCTATTCAAATGGAAGAATGAAAAAAAAGAGCGATGCTCAAATGAAAAAACAGGTGAACCATGGCAACACTGCTCATCATTGTTTTCCATTTGGTAGAGTTTTTGAGTACCTTTCACACTTTTGAAAGACAGAGAACATTCTTTCATTTGGAAACATGACACTCACTCCCTTATCATGATCCATCCCTAATAGAAGTTCCTAATTTGACTTCAGGATTGTTAATGAATTTTATATTTGTCTTTGACTTCCAATAATGTCCTTGTAAGTTGTTGTTGTTAATAATTGTTGGGATATTAAATGAGGGTAGTAAGGTGAAACGAGACATTGACCAACTAAGGAAAGATGAGTTTGGGGTCAGACAAAATAAAAAACATGAATTCTATGGAAACGTGGCACATAAACTGTAAAATGATTAAAGGAAAAACACCCTGAGATTTTCTATTTCAGGTGGGTAAAATTATCTGGAACCGACCCAGTGCCTGGAGATGTGGTGTCTATTGGTCGTTCTGTTGGTCAAAGTGGAGAAGACAAGAATGTGCCAGCTGACATGCTTTTGCTAGCTGGAAGTGCTATTGTGAATGAAGCTATACTTACTGGTGAATCGACTCCCCAGTGGAAGGTTAGTTTCATGTTCCATTTGAATTGATTTCTATGGGCGGCAAGAATGCTACTCCCTCCGTCCCATGAAACATGGGACTTTTGCTTTTTAGGAGGGATTTAAGGGGAGTGTATTTTGGTATTGAATTTCCAAAAATGTCCTTTGATGTGATGGGTAAAAGTATGATTTGATGGATAGATTATTAGTAAAAAGGTATGATGTGATAGTTAGGGTATGAAAAAGTAAGGGGTAAAAGTGACTTTTTAATAGAAATGAGAAGTGTTTTGTGGGACGGATAAAAAAGAAAGGAGAAAGGTTTCATGGGACGGAGGGAGTATATTCCATGAGTACATTTTGACCAAGGTGGTGCAATACACTTTTGTAGCACTTACATTATTATCTGGTTGCAAGAAGACAATGGTAAGTCATTTAAAATTTTAATTAGAATTCATAGCAGTGCACCAATAGGTGGTCCATGGCCAATGTAGCTAAGAGTCAATTTGACAATGTTTTAGCCTGCGTAATGTACATGCCAAATCAAAATGACTCATTAAACTTTCCTTGCTTCTTACTTTCTATGAAGTTTTGGGCAGTGAATCGATCAATGCATCAATGGTCTAACCAAAACAATCTTTTTGTAAACATGGGTAAGGCCGTAAGGTAGCATACATCTTGACCCCCTAGACCCCGACGGAGTTACAATCATACTGGGTAGCATAATGAGTAAGAAGTACATGATATATCATGAACGTTGGTGACAGGTATCCAGTGTAAAGTTCATTTCATCATTTGTTATTAATTTTCATAATGAAATTTTTCTATGCTGATTTCAGGTTTCAATCATGGGTAGAGGATCTGATGAGAGATTATCAGCTAGACGAGATAAAGCTCATGCCCTTTATTGGGGAACAAAGATTTTGCAGCACACACCAGATAAGGTCATTCTTTGTTTTATTATATTTTTCCAAGTTGTTTTTGTGATTTATTACACATATTCATCTTTTTGGTACTTGTATGAGCAGACATATCACATAAAGATCCCTGATGGTGGTTGCTTGGCAGTTGTTCTATGAACTGGATTTGAGACTAGCCAAGGAAAATTGATGCGTACTATTCTCTTTTCCACTGAGCGGATAATTTCTTTAAAACAAAGCTGGCTCATGGCTATGCATACATTGGCTAGTTTTTAATGATGCAAAACTGTGTTATAGGTTACTGCTAACAGCTGGGAAAGTGGGCTACTCATTCTCTTTTTGTTTGTATTTGCACTGATTGCCGCTGGCTATGTTCTTATAAAGGTAACATATCTCATTGTGATTATAAACCTTTAGGGGGGAAAACATAGCTTTCCAAAGCTTTCTTTGTCTTCATGGAGTAAAAATGTCAATTCAGTTGAAATGAATAAAATGATTCACAGAAACTAGAAACCAGTGATTTTCTACGGAGGCATTCTTTTCCGTCATAATTTTGATCGTCCCTGTTAGGGTTTATGACTTTCAAGGATTTCACCCTAGCAGAAGCATCTTCACTCAATTTATTCCATGGTGAGCTCTTGCTTCTTCTTTTTTGTCATACATTTAGATTCAATAACTAATTGCTGAGTCGAACTGTGTTGACAATGGTTCTGGTTGGAATTTATAATTTCTATCTGAATTGAATTGCCAATGGCTGTGGATCAAACAGGAAGACGCCCAAATCGGACCTCCATAGCGCTCTTCAATGTCCAAAATATATACTCGTATTTGCTAATTCCTTACATGGAAATTTTGTATCCCCATCTGTAAACCACAGAGATGAATATCTTGGCCGTAAACATAAGATCAACCATCTTAACTAAAACGTGGAATGTGGATTCTCTTTATTCAGGATATAATCCCAAGCTAAAAAAGACTTCCTTAATAAGAATATAACTTACTTCTTCCATTGTCAATTTGTTTTGGTTTGGAATCTCATAATTCTACATGGTAGCCAAGACTTGAGCTCAAAAAAGAAATCCAGGTCTATTCCAGCAAGTAACTTGAGGCAAAAAAAAAAAACTAAGTTGCGCTTTAGGGTATGTTGAGGGTGTAGTCTTTTACGTCAAACACACAGGCAAAAAAAAGACTAATATATTAGTATATGAGTTATTACTCTTCCCATCGGTAATTGATTTTGGATTGGAATCTTATAATTATATGCTCTTTAGTATCATTCTTTGAACTTGGAATGATCTGGAATATTTACACTTCTTATCCTACCAATTGAAAGGTTAAGACTCAAGATAAGAGAACTTTGAAAGATCTGGAATTATCAGAAAGTTATATTTCCCAATCAAATCATGTGAACAAAGAATGTTGTACAAGTGTACATTTCTCTGCAAAAAATTCTGCTAACTAAAAACTATGCTTACTGATTTTTTTCAATATCTACTTCTTATACTAGAGATGACATCGATAAAGGTATCCTCTAGACAAGGAATTGTAAGTCCACCCATGGGTTGGTCAAACCCAAATTCTTCTTCAGCTTGGCTTAGCAAGTCTTGGAATGAAGGGTCCTTCAAGTATGAGATTGGAATGACGAATCGCTTCTTTTCGTTCTTGCCTGCATAAACTGCAAAGTGACCCTTAGGAACCTCACTTTCTGTGTTTCTTCTCGAAGAAGACCTTCTGAGTCCGTGCTTTGCACGGAAGATGTGCCCGATGCTGATTGCCATATTTCTTTTGGAAGTGTTTGTAGAATAAGATAGCTACCGCAACAAATTGTGAAAGCAAAAACTTTTTTTTTCTATGAAGAAAGCCTTTGAGTTGATTGGTCTGAATGGCATCTGCAATGCTTTATATAGTTATATAATCCTTTAGAAATGGAATAAGTGGGTAACAGAAGTTTGGATGCCAGCTTGCATGATGAGAATTTTGGATAGCTCAACAAATCTGTCATTAATTACCATGTGCTTTTGTCTTCCAAAAGGCATGAATAATGTCTACCAATAGCTTAGTATGTAAAGATCATCATCCCCCCTTGATTCAATTCAGTTGTGATGGCTCAACCACCCATGAAGGCTTACCAGAATGAGAGATGAAGATTATAGCTCTGTAAATTAATGGATTAACTATTTGTATTGACTGGAAAGCATGACCATGTGATTCCTCATTTGTATGTCTGTATATTCGGCTACACTTCAGGTCATATGTCTTCCTGATTGAGGCTAAAAGACCCCATATGTCTGGTTGGTACATGGTTTTGCCTCCCAAACGCTTTAAATAGATGAACAACTGCTTCTACATTCTGATCATCTAATACTTAAACCCAGTCCAGGCAAAATCTTTGGTTTCAAGGATCTTGAAATTATCCATTCAAATTCTCTTTATTCAGTACTCTTTGTACCATTATTACAATTCTGTATAAATTTGGTTTCCTCTAGACCTCTACCATTAGCAGTCTGAATGAATTCGTTTCAGTTACTTTAGACATAGGTGTTCATCAGCTTCACTCCCAGTGCAAGTATCTGATCCAATCTACCAGCCCATACAATTTCTGTAGATGCTTGTTTCAATTTGTTTTCCTTCATCTTTTAGCACTTAAAGGTTCTTCATTAGCAGAACCAAATGATTCATACCAGATGGAAATGATGACAGGCTTCTTTGGTTAGAATGTTAAAGGGATTACCTCAAGAGAAAGCAGAAACCATATTTGTTGTAGCTCAGCAATGTTCCCTTTTGTAGTACAATATCACAAGGTAGAAATGAAGTAAGAAAAGTGTCCTGCTTCATTTGCTTGGGAGATATCTATTAATAGTGATCGATGGTGTATAAGATTAAATGTTAACATTTTGGAATAAAATCTTCGGCTTCTTCTTCAGCTCCGCTAAAACTCTCTGGTCTGGTCTGGGTTTCCTTCAGTTATTCTGTGAATAAGTTTACAACTGATGCTATTATGGAGTTTCTTTCTTGTTGGCGGGCCAAAAAGGTAAAAGTAAGATCCAGGCTTCACTGTCTGCATATTGTGATAGGTTTGCAGATCAGGAATCACAGAATATCCGTAAATTTATTTGGCCATTTGGTTACTCCTGCAAAGATTCTTCTTTATTGAAGCTACAGATCTTCAGGGCAGAACAAAAAAATCTTTAAATTAATGTCCCAAGAAAAAAAGATATTCTAGACATCAATTGCTTGATTGTGGTGGGATTCAAGAACAGGATGTTGATGCTTCAATGAACAGCAGGAATCATTATGCACTGGTTACATGAAGGTTACAGATGTAGAAACAAAAACCATGTGGTTTCACATTATGTCTGTTCTTGTTGTCTCATATTCATTCCACACATATCTACCCATTATCTGTCGAAACTGAATGGCCACACTACAACTTAATCGGTGGCAAAAACCATGAATGTCTTTTTTTAATTCATTTACGGTGTATTTATTTATTAATTTTTTATCTCAGAAACACCTCCATAACTGTCTTCTTCATCTCAGAAACTGAATTGGAGATACTTTGCAGGTTGTAATTGAAGGTGTTGATTATGGAGATTCTTGCTTGTTGATGGGCCAAAAAGGTAAGAGACCCAAGATTCATTCTCTGCACGTTTTGATATGTTTGTAGATCAGGAATCACAGAATTTCTGTTTAAGATTTCTTTGGCCATTTGGTTAGTCTTGCAGATTTTCTTCATTAATGCAGCTAAAGATCTCAAGGGCAGAATGAAAAAATTTCTTTTTTATACTGCCCCCCCAAAAAAAAGAACAGATTTTGGACATCAATTGCTTGGTTGTGGTGGAATTCAAGAACATGTTGTTGATGCTTCAATGAACAGCAGGAAGCATTATGGATTGGTTACAGATTGTATGCAGAAACAAAAACATGTGGTTTCACATTAATTCTTCTTTTCTTGTGTTGTCTCAGATTCATTCCACCTATGTCTACGTATTTCCTGTGGAAACTGAATGACCACACTACTAATAATTGGTGGCTCTTGCTTGGCCTTGGAATTATTAGTGGATCACTTTCGTTAGTGTCTTTTTTATTTGTATATTCGTTTATTTGCATGAGAGCTCATGAAATGTACCCAAACCCAAGACTTTATATTCTTAAATAGTACTTGAATAATGTCTAGTGGCGGGAATAATGTCTTGACGGTAGATATTTACTTGAAAAATGACCACTGGACATTGAAGAGTGGTACTCATATTGAGAAATAAAAACATATGGTACCACATTGGGAAAGTCACTATATTTTAATATTATTTAGATAAATTTCCCTTATTTCAACTAGCAATTAATTTTTTTAAAAAAAAATGGAGTACACCAATTTTACGCTTTCTTTTAATTGAGGAATGGTGCATTACAAAAATTTAAGGAATAGAGCTCCTTGGACACCAAGGGTGTAACCATGTTGTACCTTAGAGATACTCCGTATGTACTAATAATATTTTGATGGTTCACAGTAACACAAAATACTAGTGTAAAATTTTTCGATCGCACTAGCATTTTATGTTATTGTAAATCATGAAAGTGTTACCACAGACTTGTGGAGTACAATTTGGTTTACTACCAACACACCTGCCATGGTTGGATTTTAAATGGTATGTTTACACTTTACATATGACTTTTTTATGGGACCAATATGAACTGCAAATCCTTTTCATTAAATGGAATTGAAGAGAACAAAAAGAGATGAGAAACATTTCGGAAGCACATCTTTGTTTGAAATTGCTTGAAATCTTTGGGTTTTTGGCTCTTTTATTCTTACCCGCTACCACTTGAAATCATAGTTTGATTCGGTCGATTCTTAACCCTTGAGATGTTGCTCAGATTGACCAGTTCGAATCAAAAACTTTTTCACAATGTTGTTTTGGAGATTTATGGATGAGGCTACCGAGGGGAGGGGTTTGGTTGTGTTCTGTTCTCCCCCCGAGGGGTGTTTTCCGTCAGCAGTCAATGATCATTTACATTGGCTCAAGCTCTTTAGGAAGGGTGTTTATTAAACTTTATTTCCTATGTTGGGTCTCTTTTGGATGGTTGTTTTTCTCTTTTGTCTTTGTTTCTTCGTGTTACAATCATTTTTGTGCGCAGATCAGAGAATGTTTAGCCCACCCTTTAGCTAAATGTGTGGGGTCTTTGTTGGGTCTGTGGGAGTTTAGCCCTCTGAACTTTTTTGTCCCACTTTTAGTTAATTAATGATGGTGTTTTCTTTCAATAAAAAAACTAGAAAAATCCCACCAAAAATAGAGTCTGCAAAGAGAAAATAACAAAGTTTAAGAAAATAATCATACGGAGTAACATTTTATATAACTAAAAAAGATAAAAGTAATAATAATTACAATGTACTCTCTAGTAGGGAGTAGTTTGAATACAAAGTAGAAGAAAAGGGGATTGTTGAAATTTAAGAATGTGGTAATGATATTAGTTTGATATGCTATAAAGTTAAAATAAAAACATCAATAATGTAAATTTCATAATGCGACAAAGAAAAAGAAAAGCGCAAACAAAGCAAAGATGTACAGTTGGGTTAAAATGTCATTACTTATAATAAGTCTACTTCACAGCAATCTTCGAATCGAAATGAACCCTTCAAAACCAGTGAGGAAGTGAGTTGGAAGTCCTTCTTGTTAAGCGCGTAAGGCTACTCCATATCTGAACTCTCATACTTTGCAAAAATATGAAATAACAAATCCCACAAATCAAAATGTCATGAAAACCAATTGAGAAGAACCAAAGCACCAAAATAGATTTCAGAATTCCAATCCGAAAACCAAACTGAGTTCAGAATTCCAACCTGAAAACCACATCACAAAATAGATCAAAGTACTCTAAACCTTATACTATTTTTTCAAATGAACAAATCATTAAACATAAACCAAAACGGAATTCATACAGCACATTTCTGACTCACAACAGTACTTTCCTTTTGAACTTCACACTGAAAACATTATGATATGGAGCACCATTTTAAGCCTTTAAGGTGACCAGGTTCATTCCAAAATGTGCTTAGGTTATAAATGCAGTTATGTAGAAGGGGTTCCCTACTCGGTCTTACTCTAACTCCATTTCAATTGTGACTTGTGATAATTATCAAGAAATGCTGATTTCATTGCTACTTTTGGCTCATATCAAGTATTCAACAAATTTGAACATGGATTTTTTAAAATTCCACTGAAGTGAATAATCCCCAAAAATCCACTAAACTTTATTCTTTTTCTTTTTGCAGGTTTCATGCTTTATTGGACTTTGATGAAGGTATGTGTAGGTGACGAATGAAACTTGAATGCCATAACAATAGATGCAGAAGAAAATCTGTACATTCAAAACGTTCATTTGAGAAAGTACAACAACAAGTTTTGGTAGCCGATGAGAGTGATTTTGATGGGGACGTCTGCAAAGGTATTTTAAACTAACTCTCACACCACTATTACAATTAAAGTGCCTTAAGCCCCTAAAACTTTATGCATTGCTGTGCTTTTCTTTTTATTTGTTTTCTATTCATACATACACAATTGCTAGGTACAACCTGGAGGTGCTCTATAAGCAATCTTGGCCAAAGGTAAAAAAATGAATTCTTGCTCCACTGGCACTAAAAATCAAGTGTTAAAAGGAAAAAAACTACTCAAAGTGGTAAAACCAAAACCCTTCAAATCTGTAAAATTCAAACCAGGACTAAAAAAGACAAAGTATTTGCCAACAAATTCTCTATGCCGTCCATAAATTGTTGTTCAACCAGGGTAGAAAAAAATATGTGAATAAAACTTTTCATAGCAACCCAACAGTTTTACATTCTTTAAGAATTGTGTCAAATCAATATTACTGCAAAATAGAGGAAAAGAAACAGACAATAAACTAAAGCAACCATAACCAACATGGTTTCAAACATATCAAGCATGGCATACATATTATTTGCAATCTATGTACTCCTAAACATGTGAATTTGTAAAGAAAAAAAACAAACCTGGAACCTCAAACTCAAAGCACAGCAACGTCAAATTTTCACCTGCAAGAAAGGGTGACATAGTATGCATTTTCGTCTAATAGAACGAAAGAGAACACAACCTTACAATTAGCCATAGACAAACAACCCTTCGGGAAAAGGACCCTAAATTACACTTGATTCTTGAGGCGGCAAACCTTAAAGCAAAGGAAGTGAAAGAAAATCCTACAATGACAAACATCCAACCAAGGGAAGCTAAATCTGGGCAACATTCACAATTTACCTGCACATCAATTTTATTCACACAACACACAAAAATAGGTAGCATCAATTACCCTAAAACCAAATGAATTATCAAAATAGGTACGGCACTAGGCATGCCAGACCCTACTTTTGTGGATGCAATGTTGTTGTCAGATAACATACTAGACATTGTTGATGTGGAAGTATTTTTTAGAAGTACGCAGGTATCCACTACCAATGATTGATATTATTACAAGCACATACTCATAATCAAGATGAAGAATGGCATGAAGAGTGAATGTCAACCTTTAGGAATGCCGGAATGGAATGTTTCTCCTTCAATGAACGGAGCTCTTGACATAAACGGAGCTACTTTGCAGATTCACTGTAATCAAGGAAGATGCTTTACATTGGTTAAAAGTAAGCTCCAGGCTTTGCTACCTACACATTGTGATATGTTTGGACTAGAGTTCTATTTCTGGTAAGAGTAGCTCCACAGCAAGACAAAATGTGCAAGACTGGTACACAGATATAGCATTTCATCAAGACATAAATTGATTCAGAGTGCTTTTGCTTCAATCGGAGGACGCTACTGCCCACTCTTTTGAGCATATGGATTATTTAGATCTTCATCCAAGGGAAAGAGTCCACTTTATTACTTCAATCAGGAGAGTGAATGGTATAGATATGGAAGACGGAACCCTATTCATTCTTTAAACACTCCATAACATCCTCCCATTGCATAAGAAGCTTTTGGTTTCCATTGGGGCACAACAGATTACTATAAGGCTCCCAAATGACCTCACGAAACTTGGTGTCAAAAGAACCGTGGTGATAATCATCATCATCATAATAATTGTAATAATGAAGTTATATATGGCTGATATAAAACATTATTTTGTACATCCGAGATCCGACCATACTTTCATATACATCTAATGAACATTAAATGTGCATACACTGATTTTATAAGTTGTCTACATTGAGTATGCCAAAAAAATAAATGTGTCTTTTTTTTTTTTAAATCTCATTTTCAAGATTTCTTTTTTTATCATTTAACAAATTGAAAGTGTTATTAGCAACAAAATAAAAAGCTCTTTTAGCAAAGAAATGAGTATAGTGGAAATATTAAATTAAATGTAAATACATCAATTTTGTAATGTAAAATCTCTAATGCAACACTTTGACCACTAATATTTTTATTCATATATAGGTTTATATCATAAAAATACGATATTTCTAAGCTAAATTTCAAAATAAATTCATTGACCTTATATCTATCATAATGCAAAATACTTTTTCCATATATTATGATCAAAGTTATAAAACCTTGACCATCAAAAGTCAAATGAGAAAATTTTGCGTCAATGATGTTCTTGTAGCTGGCTTTATTTTATTGCACATTTAACTGACCGTCAGACCTCATTCTCTACATTGCACTTTTAAATAAATCATCCCTCCGCTTCCGCTTTGATCTCCTTCAACAGCTGGTCCTTGTAATCCACAAATGTTCCTGGGAATGTCGTAACAGTTCCATCCTCCACCACCCAGATTTCGCTCTTCTCCTCATCCTCACACATGCGGGATATCAATCTGGAATCGTGGCTGACAAGGACAACTCCTCCAGTGAACTCGTCTATGGCATCGGCTAGCGCATCAATACTCTGCATGTCCAAGTGGTTTGTGGGTTCATCGAGCAGTAAGATGTGGGGCTTCGACATTGATATTGAGGTGAAGACAACCCTGGCTTTCTGTCCCCCAGACAGTTTCGCAATAGGGGTCAGGTGGTGTACCCCTTTTAAACCAAATTTGGCAAGCTTTGAGCGTGTTGACTCCACTTTTCTGGGTTGGTCTTGGTCTGGATGGAGACGAAGGAGGTACTGCACCGGATTTTCGTTCATAGTGAGGAGATCAACGAAATGCTGTGAATACCTTCCAATTCTCAGCTTCTGACTCCTGCGAATTTCTCCTTCGGTTGGGAGTAAATCACCGGCAAGAAGATTGAGAAGTGTAGATTTGCCAGCTCCATTCGGTCCGACTATGGCAACACGAGTGCCCATGTCAATGCCTACGTCCACATCAGACAGTTTGAAGTCTTGGCGATTCGGGTAGGTAAAGCTGATGTCGATGAGCTGGAGGAGTGGTGGGGTGAGGTCGGTAGGTTCCGGAAAGTGGAACTCGACTTCGTAGTCTGTCCACTTCTCTGGGGCCTCTCGCTGCTTAACCTTGGCTATTTGTACCTGGTTCCCACTCCGTTTGGCAGCCATATTTAGTTTCTCGTGTTTCTCATGCTTCTTGTTTCTCTCCTTCCTACGCTGCTCACACCCGGCAATGAAATCATCAAAGTTGCCACGGTAGTGGTGGAGATCGAACTCGTGGAAATGGATGATCTCGTTGCAGACCGAGTTAAGGAAATCACGATCATGAGAAACCACCACCAATGTCTTCTTCCATCTGGACAAGTACTCCTCCAACCACAGAACAGCCCGCAAATCAAGATGATTGGTTGGTTCGTCAAGCAACAACAACGTTGGTTGCATGAAGAGCGCACCTGCCAGCGAAATCCTCATCCTCCAACCACCACTAAAAGACCGAGTCGGACGGGCCTGCATGTCCTGAGTAAAGCCCAACCCAGCCAGAATTTTTGAGGCTTGAGCTTCAGCTGCATCAGACCCTAACAACTGTAATCTCTCATACAATTCACCAAGCTTCTCTCCACCATCGTCTTCTTCTTCAGATTTCTGCAAATCTGAAACTTGTTGGCGAAGTTCGACAAGCTCCTTATTAGCAGAGACGACAGCTTCTAGGGCGGATTTTTCATCGCCGATCACTTCCTGTTCAACCAAATGGATATCGATGTTCTTTGGAACCGGAACCTTTCTGTGAAAAAGATGCTTCAACAATGTGGATTTACCACAACCGTTTGGGCCAACCAAACCATATCTTTTGCCATGAGATATCCTCACTGTTGCATTCTTCAGGAGTTCTTTTCCAGGAGCCGACAGAGAAAAGTTCTCAATAGTAATATCTTTCACATTTGAACTGGCATCATCATCATCATCATCCCCTTCGAGTACTGAAGTTTTGGTGGGGAGTTTCACATCGAAAGGATCATCATCATCATTGAGGGCCGCCTGTTTTGCATGTTCAGCAGCTTGTGCTGCAAGAATGTCCTTCTTTTCGCGCTTTTTCCTCTCTTTAGCAGTCAGACCAACATCAAGTGCACTTGCATTGTCAGACCTCTGGGTTTTCTTCTTCTGCACAACATTCAGCTTCTCCTCAACCTCATCCTCATCATCAGAAGGAGGAAGATCAATGCCATCAGTGTATGACGAAACTTTTGGTTTCCCCTTAGGTTTGCTCAGGACCGGTCCTGAAATGAAAACAAAATCAGAAAGGCCATGTACAGAACATGTTTTAGACCATATTTTATTGTGTATGGAGTGTTTTGTTCAAAATTACTTCTATATTTTATTTTTCATGTTCAATAATGCAAAACTTTGACAATTAATACACACACACACATACATTCAAAAAATTAATTTTAAAAATGTTAAATAGTCATTAGCTCATTACGGATTTACTGCTAGTCTAAAAAATTATTAGGCCCTGTAAAATTAGGGCCCCTGTGTGGATGCACGTCTTGCGCACCCTCAGGGCCAGCCTTGGGTTTGCTAGCAACACTACTCGATGAGGATTGAGGAAGAACCTTCAGCTTTTTTATCCATACGAGCTAACATGGCAGACACTGATAACCTCTTCCCATCCTTAGAAGCCTCTCCCTTGTTGAGATTAGCCTTTGAATGTGCACCACTATCTTCGGTTTTCTTCTTTCCCATTTCAGTACTGATCCAAAAAAAATCATGAGATATTAAACCATGATACTGCAGGCACTTCAGTTCACATGCATGGAATTATTGAAATTCAATCAATATTCAAAAGGGGAAACTTTTTCAAAAACCGAAACTCAAATCACCAATGCATGAATATGGAATATCGATCTACAATGGATAGATATTTCAACCAAACAAAACATGTGAAATTCTCTCAAAAAGATCACAAGCAATTATAGACTCAACACCTGGCCTCAAACATTTCATTTCAAAAGAGAAAGAATGAAATGATATTCGTAAACTAGATGTTGAATTTTAACAATTGAACGTAATTGAAATTAAAGGTCTCAGAGTGAAATAACACGAATATATTTACTCTTGTTCACATGAAAACAAAGGGAGATACATCAACATAACATTTATAATATAGATCAATGATAAAAACATATAGTCATTGCCTTTCTCATATAGACAAAGAAAGAAGACATAATTTTGGTTTGAGATCAGGAGCGGACACCAAAACTTTAAGTCATGGGATCTCATTCATGAAAATTTGTATGCACAAACCACATGTAGAGCATTGATTACAAAAGTAATAAGTTAAAGGTTAGATACAACAACAACAACATTACCTCAGTGCCTCAAAGGCTCCTTGCCCATTGCAGGGTAAGGGGGGGTCGAATGTACATAGGTTGGCCCCTATGTTAAAACATAGAGCGGTTGTTTCTAGATGACCCATATGTTAAAATTAAAGGTTATATATACAATGCATTGTGAATATACAATACATCTAACAACCTGAACTATTAAGTCCACCAAAATGAATGTCAAACTATCCTTTTTATTCCAACCCATGAATCCACATCCCATAAAATGATACCCAACAAAGTCCTTGACAATACTATATTCCAGATTTCCAACCAAGAGTAACCATCAACAAAAACGAAACAAATTTAAATCTTTTTTCCAGGTATCACCTTAAAGAAAAGTAAAAATTTTGGAGTTGAAAATTCCATCTTTGACATTTCAATGATAATCTATATTTCTAATTGTTAACCATGGATCAGCTTCTAAAGCTTCAAAATATAAATTCTTTTGATTTGTGATTCAAATGTTTCAGGTGCTCCATTGGGTTGACTTGACTTAAAGGCAAGGAAATATTCGAATTCAAATTAGACAGATTCACTCTTTATTCAAGCTCTTTAAGTTTTCGTATCTTTTAAAAGTACCTTTGCATTCTAAATTTAAATTCAAGTCATCCAATAGATTAGAAAGTTAGCTTTAATTAGCACTTCGCTAATTAAATTAATAAAAAAACTAACATTAATATAATCTTATTGAAATTAACCTAATCACAAATGACAAATTCAAACTTCACAAATCCACATTCACATATCCATATATCGCAAACAATAATTGATAATTGCCTTAAAAAATACAAATTACGGAGTACTTATGTTGCTAAATACCTGGCGGCGGCCGGCAGAGCACTTGACGACGGCTGAATGGGCTGATGACGGAGTCGTTAGCGAATAGCTATAGGTTATAATTAGTATTTAGGCTATTAGTATTAAGATTTTAGAAACTTAAGCAGAAAACTGGGGGAGGAACGAGGCGGCCGGGGGAGCTGCACGACGGCTGAAGGGGGGCGGCTCACCAGGCCTGCAGTTTGTCCGAACTTCCCCATATTTATACTCCCACCTTCCCTAAATTCTAAATCAATTACCCCGAGTAATATGGAAAATTATATTGTAAATTTTAAAGTTTAAGATATGGAGTTCCAAAAATATATGCTCATATTTAATTAAGGAAAAAGAGAAGAAATATTTGCATTAAATAGCACTAAAACTTAAATCATTTCCATAAATAATACTTAAATTATTTTATTCTCTAAGTAACACTTAATAATGTCCACAATGTCTGGTGATTGTGAATATTTACTTGAATAATGACTAATGCATAATGATTAAAGGTGCTACATTAGAAAAAAAACACATGTGGTGCTATTTAGAGAAAGTCATTGTGTTTTAATGTTATTTGAGTAAATTTCTCAAAAGAGAATTTATAACTGAAATCTGAATACATGAACCATGTGAATTTGTTAAGTAATTTTTCTTTGTATTTTTACTTCAACTTTTTGTAGTTTTTTTGAACGTTAAATGCTAAGGTAAAAATTTTATTTTTTCTGCATTAATTATTGCTCCTTCAATTATTTAATGCCCGTTTTAAATTTTTTCCATGTTAATTATAATTAATACTCCATCACTCTGGAAATGTTCTTCACATTTGCCTTTTTATCAAAGTTTGTAAATTTTGACTCCAATTTATAGAAAAAATATGTTATATTATGATATGTATCAGTTTATTCCTAGTGGAACGTAGTTTTGAAACATCAATTTTTTAATTTACTCTCTTCTTCTCGAAATTGATTACAAATTGGAATTTACAAGTAAAAAATTTTCACTTTTTGAAATTATTTTATTTAAAAATCGGTATATCAATAAGAAATAAAACTACATACAAAAAATTATGTCAAAAGTTGTACAAAATAAAAGGTGACAAAAATATTTTATTTTATCAAATACTTAATAAAACCGCGTAAATAAACAAAAGTTATCGAGAAAAAAGAAAAAAATTGTAATTAAAATGGGGGCGAAAGGAATATAACATATATCCATGTATAAATATAGCTATTAATGGTCAAAATGCAACATTGGAGACTGCGAAAAGTCAAATGCGAAGAATATTTCGGGACGGAGAGAATGCAAAACTATAAAATATTACCATTTAAATAATGGTTTGTTCGGTTCGTTGATCCTCGAGTTGACCGATTCAACGACCAGTAAGCCCTTGACCCACTCTTTCATTCGGGTCGATGTCCGGTCAGGTTTTCAGAATATTGTTTTAAAGTGGGAAGAGTGTGAAATCGGTATTCAATTCGGTTGTAGTGGTAGATTGTTATGATCTTGATTAATTTATTAAAACCAGAAACAAATTCCAATTTATGTGTATTAGTCCGTCTGTCATAAAATTAACTTCTCGTTTAATTTCTTATGGTCTCAAATGAAACACTTTAATAATAAATATCTCTATTTATGAATAAATACACATTATAAAAATAGGATATTTCAAAAATGAATCTATTTAATTATTTATTTATATTTAACTTTTGGGAGATGCTAGGGGTACACTAAAAGGTGTACCCCATTTGTACACCATAACCACTCATTTATTTTTTATCTTTATTTACTTAATTTTTTTTAAATTTCTTGTCTATTTAAGTGGTAATGAAGGGGGTGGGGGACAAATGGGGTACACCTTTGGTGTACTCCTAGCATTTTTCTTAACTTTTTTGCTCATTTATGTGGTGGTGGAGGTGGTGAAGGACAAATAAAGTACAACTAGGATTGCTCAAGACCCTAACCTAAGACAAGACACACATTTTGCCTCCGAGGAATCAAAAGCTGACATCACCCCAACAAAAGACAGAAATAAAGACAAAAACCCGGCCTGCTCCATCCATTGCCATCTCTCGAACGTTCCCAAATCCCAATCGGATGATGCCATGACGTCTTTGACTATAAGCATATACTCTGACTATCTTTGTTGAGTTTAGTTATTTTGAATAAAAAAGAATAATTTCGAAGTTCAATTAAGCAAAAATTATGGTGTATATTAGTACAAAAATAATTTCATTAGATTTGTTTAGTTAAAATTTTTAAAAATTTTATTTTATTGTACTAATATTTGATACTATACGAATGGAGATCGAGTAATTGAATTACAAAATTTTTATTAATTTTATTTGGTAGTATAGAATTTTTGTTATATTTTTATACTCTCTCTGTCTTTTTTAAAGATTATCACAGTCAAACTTTTTTTATCACATTGTAATCTCTTGCATGTCAACAAGGGTGTGATAGTTGGACCAAAAAATCAAATTTTTGTGACAATCTTTTAGAGAGTGGTGAAGCACATTGTTGAGAACTAAGAAGTGAGTACATTGTTAAGAAGGTGACATCTATAATTTTTATGGGAGAGAAGGAAGGATATACTCCCTCCGTCCCTAAATAAATTTCCTTTTTTGACTTTTTGTGAAATTAAGGGAGAGATATTTTGGTGTTGACTTTCCAAAAATACCCTTGATATGATGTGTAAAAGTAAGATGTGATATGTAGATTATTAGTAAAAAGGTATGATGTGATAGGTAAGATATGAAAAAGTAAGGGGTAAAAGAGGTTTTTTAAGGGAAAAGAGAAGTTTATTTAGGGACGGAGGGAGTATATATATACTGTGTAAACAACAATAATTAAATAGTGAAGTGTATGGTATAATAAAGCAGACCAGTAACTAATATAATCACCATGGGTAATCAACCATATACATACACCATTCATTACCATTAGGCAGGAGGGCAAATCAAGCATGACTAATTATGCACATACATGTTGTGCATGTATATATGTTTGTATATATGCATGTGTGTATATATGTATATGCTGCATCGACATAAGATGGATGGATCATCCCATATCATAATATATACTGTAGATAAACTTTTATATATATATCCAATATACGTAGTATATATGAACTTATGCATGATGATGATGATGATGATGGGAGACTATGATGATGGGAGTCTGGTGATGTAGACCTTGTGGATCTGGGGGCCCCGCACATGCCAGTTATCATCATCGGGGTACACCTGGACATTGTCGTCAGTGAAGAAGTCGAGGAAATAGCCGGGCCATGGATCATTGAGGTAGACGGGCCTGGGAAGAATGGGCCTCGCGTATGGATCTTCCTCGTGCCACAGAAGGTGGAGGCGGTACATGAAGTCGCCTCGAGTTGGGCCGCCGCCGCCGCCGTTCCCCATCATCCCCGTGTCCAGCCAGTATGTTCTGTCGGATAGTTCACTCTCCTCCCACACAGTCACAGTAACTATTCTCCCTTCCACAAAGATTTCGAAGAGGGCAGCGAGTGCGATGAACGAGTAGTATGCTAACAACAAGCCAGCTGGATTAGTGGCCATGGAGGAGGAGGAGGAGGAGGAGGAAACATCATCACCGCCGCCGCCGCCGTCATACCCTCCTCCACCCGCCGCCGCAGCTCCTCCCATCCATGCCAACATCATCATCACTACATACATGCCATGCCATGCCATACATACATCGGATAATTAATATAATTAAACACACACACACACAGAAAAAGATTAGGAATATTTATAAGGGCAAATATGCATAATGCATAGACGTACGTACTTGAAGAAGAGAGCAAGAAGACTGCAAGATTATGAAAGTAATTAGCCACCAACCCCTGCATTTTCTTTCTTATTACTTTTGCACTGGTAACTAAGCAAGTTGATACTCCGGGTACGTAAGAGATATGATGAAGCCATAATTGCTTATTTATAGGCGCCGCCGCATCATGGGATGGGATAAAGGGTAGCTAGGGAGTGTTTGTTTGGTTGGCTGGGTACATGCCATTGTACTATACGTAGATGGCATTGAAGCATGTTACTTTACATTACAAATACAACCGCCTTATTTACCTTTCTCACTCTCTCTCTCTTTTACGTGCCTAACAATTCAAACCCGAGCCCGTATAGCGTGTCTAACGATTCAAACTCGAGCCCGTATAGCATGCCTAACAATTCAAACTTGAGCCCGTATAGCGTGCCTAACAATTCAAACCCAAGCGTGAGTACTCGCGAGTTTCGGGACGACCCGGTCCACATGGTCAACAACTTAATTGTAACAGGCTGTTTGACAACTTCTGAATAGGTAAGTGCTGAACTAGTAAGAGGTCTGAACCATTAAGTACTCAACCGGTAAGAGGTCTGAACCATTAAGAGCTAGTATATTGCTTAACTATTCAGAGGCAAATGTCTGATCAATTCAGAGTCTACATAATACTTAACCATTCAGAGGCAAATGTCTAAACCATTCAGACATCTGAACCATTAAGAGGCTGAAACAAACAGTCTGAACCATTACGTGCTGAACCATTCAAACATCTGAACCATTAAGAGGCTGAAACAAACAGCCCCTAAATAATTTAAAAATAATTTCTTTTTTTTAAATGCATTATTTAAATTTGATGTTGGATATACGGAGTAATAACTATAATGAGTATATATATCAAAGAACAATTAATATATACTCCGTATAATGTATTTTGTTTGATAATGTAACTATTGTTTATTACGTATTTGAATACCATTATCAATATGTGATACCAAGTAACAAATAAAAGGTAATAAAGTTGTAATTTTTTCTTAGTAGTTTATTTGTTTTACTAAATATATTTATAATTCTCTCTTTTTCTACATAAGAGTGTGTGTGCGGGTGTGTGTATATATATAATTTGAAGTATTATCAATACTTATGTTGTTGTTATCATTATTTTATTATAGTTATAGTAATAATAAATACGAGTATTACGGAGTATTATTTATTCAGGTCTGGCCACAATTTTTAAAGTCCAGCCTGACCTGTACTCTAAATTGTCAGGCTCAAGCT